ACTACTGCCAGACATACCGTATTCTGAACAAAATCTCATCCGGAACATCCTTAAGGAATCTCACGAGGCGTTTTTCCGTGGACGAAATATCATTGTGCAAGGTGTGCCGGAAAATATGGACCCAACTCAAGCAAACTCTGATATTCGGGAACGGAAATTCATTAAGCATTCCTTAAAACTCAAGAACATATTGACCCAACAGGTAATGCGACTAGCCAAGAGAGAAGGAGACTCTAGGCCCCGGCTGCTGAAGATAACCTTCCCCTCCTCCCACATGGCGGCTGCAACTCTGGAAGCATTTCGTGCCAATAGACGTCGGTTGCCAACTGGCATCCATATGCATCCGGATAGGCCCCACGACAGCAGGATCAAGCACAAGGGAAAGCTGGAGTTGACAATTCCACTCGTGGACTGTCTTGATCATAAAAAAAACGTGTAAAGGACAGAGACCACCAACTCGGTAAACATCGTATAAGTAGGCTACCTGTTCACTCACGCACGGCTCATATAGACAAACAGGAAGTAGCTCACGCATTCTAAATTGAAAGCATAAACTGCTTATACACGAATGCCGCGAGCTTGCCAAACAAAATGGATGAGCTACGTGAACTTAGCAACGCTAATGATGCCCATCTGATAGGAATATCCGAAACTTGGATAACGTCTCAGTTTACGAACCAGGAGTTAGCAATAACTGGGATGTCTTTATTTCGCAACGACAGAAAAACAAGAATGGGGATGGGGTAGCACTATACATACGGTCATGCCTGGATGCGCACCAACTTCACAACCAAGAGTTTCTCAATCTTGATGAGTAAGTATGGTGCTCAGTAAGATTGTCTACCACCTCGAGGTGTCTAGTTGGGGTCATTTACAGGAAGCCCACTGCCGACATCGAGTATGACAAACGTCTGCTGGAAGGATTAACTCGCTCTACGCGTCTCGGATTCTCTCATATCCTGATTCTGTTCTTCAACCTTATCGGCGACCTGGGATTATTCGAAAATGTGAAGTCGGCAACCCGTTGGAGAAACAGTCAGACGCCGTCGCGCCTAGACTGGGTATTCACAAATGAAGAATTCCTAGTTGACGACCTCTCAATCCTGGATCCCCTGGGAAAAGTGATCACGCCGCCAAAAAGCTACAAGCAACCTCCAATCATCAAGAACCGCACTCGTCGTTTGCTAAGCCGCAAAAGGCACTGTTGGGCTGAATATAAACGAACTGATAACAACGGCGCGTACAGGCAATACAAACATATAAGGAACATATGCACAAAGGCGATAAGAGAAGACAGGCTTCAGATCCAGACCAAGCTTATCGATAAATTTGTCTCCAATCTGAAGAGCTTATTCCGTTACGCAGCTTCTCTTCGACAAGGCAAAACTGGAGTTTCCCAACTGCTTGGTCCTAATGGCCCAACCAATAACGACAGTGATACCGCTAACCTTTTGGCTGAACAATACTCCCGGACATTCCAGCTGACCCACATCAAACATACTGACGAAAGCTTCACCTGCACCTGTACAGGACTTTTCGAAGTGGACCTGAGTGCTGACCTGGTGCTCCGTAAACTGCAGCACCTAAGAAAAGACACTTCTTCTGGTCCGGATATGGTTCATTCCGCTGTATTGAGGGAAGCAGCTTCAATCCTGGCGACACCACTTAGCGATGAACATCTTCGTCTGCGTCATATTCAATAATAGTTTGATCTACCAAGGAATTTGTGCATAATACAGTTGGTATAGTGAATTACGATGGCGTTAACAAAATCTATGCTAGTACGTCTGATCACCAATGTGATAAGTATGGTGTAGACAAAAAGATAAACTCATTAACTAGCTTGGACATGTCGCTCTTTATAATTTCTAATCATATTCTCATGTGGTTTACTGCAGTAGATTTTCCTAGCTGAGTCAGAAAATTAGAGATGACACTACCTATTGTTTACTGAGCTGCTTGATTTCGTTTCTACTGATGAGTTGAGTCGGCAATTTCCGATGGAGTTACTTGGGTAGCCGTTCCTTTGTCACTAGATAATTATCTTCATTATTCTGAACCTCTAGCACACTTCAACTTATTTTCGCACATCTGAACACAGTTCGTATGCAGTTGATTTTGTGAGTTCTTGTATTCACGATGCTACTGTAATTGAGGATCTGATCTGTGTAGGTCGACTTTTGATGAATTTCAGACTGCAGTTTTTCTGTGCCAATTTTGGTGAATAATATATCCAAAGAACGATGGTTTGTCGTTCGACTACACTTAAATTATGAATTTTGTGTCATCAAAGATGTTTGAGTTTGGATACTAGGTCATTTCAAACTCTTTGTGTTCATTAAAAAACTAATCAGCCTCCCTAATAATCGAGAAATCGAGAGGGATGGCGCCACTTCAGACGGATGAAAAGTTGTTTGGACCACAAAACCTCTTTCTGTCATAAAAATCCTAGAACGCCCTAATTAGGTTATAGCACTCTTAAATGTCTATTCCTTTCCTCTACACTAGCTACGATGGCCACGAGTACCCTGAGGAGGCCCAGTAGAATGTTCGTCTATTCTGAGGTAAGTTCTGCGATAAGTAATGTTGTGGAGGATACCATGATCGGCTTTGTACCTCAGAATCTGCTTCAGTATTTGGTTTGCCAAGCGCATTCTCAACATCTATACGTTATCGCTCTCGTAAACAACTATGTTGAGTTAACCTATGATTAAAACTCTCCGAAAGGTTTCTGGCTACTCAGTAGTCCCCAATGCTCTTGTTTGTAACTCTCACCTTGAAAAACTGAACCACAAAACGCTTATTTGAGAAACAATTTCGCTTTTGTAATATCTCTATAACCCTCGCGTCCTCAGTCAATACCAGCTTGTCATTCATGTTATGACTTGACATAGCCGTCGCCCAATCGTTATGTCTTGGTCAAGGCCGTCGCTGATTTGTTATGTCCTTACGAATTAAACAAGGACGTAATTTGCGTGAATTTCCCGCCAATCAAAATACGACTTCTACGACCTTCACACTGTGACAATGACGTTCGATTAGTATGAGTAATATAGCGTCCTTATTGGCCCTTAATCCGCCTAGCCCGTCCTCTTGAGTCCAGAACACCAATAGCAGCCTCGGCAAGACGAATCGTTTATTTCGAGCATACTTTGTTCATATATCAGACAGGCAGACCACACCACACCATAAAATAGAAAATAATATTTGCACAAAACCAGGCCAAATGAGGCTGTAAGCGTGGGAGACAATAATCAATAAACTGAGCATAACATAGGGACAGTAAATCATATAATAATAATCAATAGGTCAAAATGAAGCTTACAATAAGATGAATATAGATATAGATAATCTGGTTACTGAATAGTTATACAATAGGAATATGCATAAAACAATAGTCCAATAATAGGTCCCGTAAGTTATCTGTACTTACTTCTTCCCTAGTATATAACAGTTCAAATATGCTCTGACTAATTCAAGATCATACATCCCCTTAAATCGATCACCAGCTGTGTGAATTTGAACTGCACAGTTCGCTTTGCGAGCATAACGTTTAATAGATTCTGTCGGGTTCAAAGATACCCATCAAAACAACATCTTTACATCGTGTGCTTTTTCCCCACGAATTAACAGCCGACCTAGCTTCAAATACGCTCACGAATATTCGCAACCTACTAGAAGTGAAACTTAGTTATTTAAGATAGACAATAGCTTATCCTCCAGATGTGACCATTCTGGGTTTTCTGTCACTGATCCGTCTAAGGTTCGCACAGGTAATTACTCAACTACGCAGAATTTCAGTTCATGAGTGAATCCCAAAAGTCTCGTCTGTCAAGTTCACTCCGTTTTAATACTAGCGGACCACATTGTTGCACAGGTTCAGGAACTTCTTAGTCCAAGCACCTACGAGCGCTCCGACTTTTTCAGAGTTGTATCGAGCTTATTGCACAGGTAATCATAACGAAGGACATCACTGTCTCTTGATTTCACCTAAACAGAGACTACGCACTAAAGAAAGCAGTCACAGAAAATCTTATTGCAACGGAATTAAGATAACTAACGCTAGCAAGGAAGTCCAGTCATGGCTTAATGTGTGTGACAACAGTAAATGCAAAGCGTAAGAATTAGTAAAAATGGTAACAACCAATGTAACTAAAGTGAAAGAGGTGAAGATAATATGTTCATTTCGTAAAAGGCTGATCCACAAAGCTTAGTGTCTAGCGCCAAGTAACATATTACGTACGGCGATATGACGAAGTATCTAGTTAAGATTTAGCCTGAGATTGTTTATGTAAATGAAATGCATTTTCATGCACAATGTCGACTTATGTAGCATAAATGTACACGATTTCGACAAAAACTTGAGGGAGACGATAGAATATATGACTATTATATATACTGTAGTAACTATAAAGAGTTACTGTGCACCATAAATATGGTACAAGATTAACTAATAGAATTATGAAACTCACCTGGGTAACTCCTGAATCTATGTAATGAAGATTTGGAATAGACAGAAGTTTGATACGATATAAATCCAAGGGAATTCGAATCATATGCGAGGTATTGTTGGTTTTTTCTATGTTTAACACAGCGTTTTAGAATGAATTTGTATAGATTCAAAAATAGTTTAGGCCACATATGTATCATCAACAGAACGAACAACCTAGGCTACTAAGTCAGAACCGTAGGTCCGTATTCAAGGGATTTTTTGCATGTCAATTCCCCTTGTTGAATCTAAAATATCTAAATCTAGTCATTGAAAAGCACTGGTAGCAGTGTGTGTCACATTTTATGTATTCTATTTTCACAGAAAACTGAGGAGTATTACTTAGTTGGCTAGTTTTTCATATGGACGATGTACTTGCAGTTTCTAATTAAAGTGACTAAAGAACTATCAACGCATATGAAAGAACTCAGATTATTCTGCTAAAAATGTCCTATATTGAACTCAAGAGAATATGGCCTCAAAATGATTGGCCAGCTGAAACTGTTCGATCATACCAACTTACCGGCGCGAAGTATAAATACTTGGAGTTGATGTCATGTTCGTTATTTGAATGTATTTTTGGTATGGTCCGGGTTACTGATATTTATATCTATAGAATTTTTATCTTTCTGCATTTTGTTGCATTGTATCAATTCAAACATCAACCTATTGACAGCGACACCGTCTGATGTCTTGGTTTAGAAGTCTCTGTATAAACGCAAGTCGATATCACAAAGTGTGTCTCCCTTTATTATGCACATGGAATCGTAGAAATGAATCGGTAAAATGTCTTTTTGCATGCACAAAGTGGATGAATTGGGGTCGTAAGAGTCTTTATTTATGTTGGCTTAAATTCTCGTTATTTCCAACTAGAGGCCCAAAGATTTGCATTTCTTCTGATGCTGAAAATAACCTCGTAAAGCTTTTAACTGTCAGATAGCACAGCTGATTCTTTCTTCTGGCTTCTACTCAATTGCCAAGACCATGGTCGCTAGCCAGATGTCATTAACATCCTACCACCGAAAACATCCACAATCATGTACTACCTTATTATTATTATCATCATTATTGTGAGGCTGTTCTTATGTTGTTCTCATAGGAAATTGAGGACCACTTCCAACGTCCAAGTAGATTACCTACACAAGGTTACTTATAAAAACAATTTAGAATTCTAAGCTTGGGTCGTTAGCTGACAGTTGCTTTTTTGCGTATAGTTAATTGTCATCACATGCACTCAATGCCCCATACTTATTGTGTTCAAGCAGTTTGTTTGCATGTTTTACACATGTATACATTAACCTCACAATTGGGGCACCCGATGTCTGACTTTCAAAAGTGACATTTTTGTCACCGGAACATATATACAGTAGGACAAGAGTTTAAAATGTCCTGGTTGATAATCTAGCACAAGTTTTAGTGTAGTGGACGTATCACTAGACATTGTCAGCACCAATTCTCACCAAGTTACCTTTACACATTTTATTGTTTTTCAATTTTTTTTTACCATACTCAGTTTACACCAATATTAATGCTTAATTTTTATTATTATTTATTTAAACACAAATATTGGTACAAAAAAGCACCAGATAAATATGCGCCTCACAAATCTCATTCGATTTGTGTGAGGGCTGTGATACTGCCCAGACTGAAGCAGGTGGTTTTCTTAGGGGGCCACACCCGGAGCCTAAGACCTAAAGGTCTAGTCCACAAGGCAGTGGAGCATCGTAAGGAGATGCAGTCCCATGGTAGCTGGTGACCAACAGTTGGTTCGTACGCCATTCGTTCCTTCAGGATACTGGAGCCCGTGTGCACCATTGGTTTGGAATCAGGGTTTTCCAACTCCCCTAGATGGATCCTCCACATCCACCGACCCGGTTAAAGATTATTTGTAACAAGTTTTTAAGATGTCAGCTCAAACATGCTAGTAGTTCTCGTCACACGATGTTTGTAATGAAGTTGGTCCTTTATGACTTACTTTTACAGCACAAAATACTTCACACATCTAGACAAAACTATGTTGTTTTAATTGCATGTCAAACTGTATAAGCACCCAATGGTTTTTTGTTCAGTTAAGTTTTCAGATTCATTTATTTTTTCTCTGCTAACATTTGAGTTTTTTTAATTGTTCCAGACATACACCATGCCTCCAGCTGATGGTACATCCCAATGGCTGCGAAAAACAATAGATTCAGCGGCTGTAATATTGTTTAGCAAAACGACTTGTCCTTATTGCAAAAATGTTGGTGGTTGATTTTCGTTCATGTATTTTGTAGGTGAAAAATGTTTTGGCTGAAGCAAAAATTAAGCATGCTACAATTGAACTAGATCAATTATGTATGTCAAAATCTTCTTTTATTCCCCTTTTAGCCAATGGTTTGGCCATTCAGAAGTGTTTAGCCAGCTTCTCTAAGATTGAAACAGTTCCTCAAATGTTTGTTAGGGGAAAATTCATCGGTAAGTAGTATGAAACTCCCTGATGTGTTGTTCAAGGAGATTCTCAAACGGTATTAAAATACTACAGTAATAATGAACTGGCGGGTATTGTCAATGAAAGCAAGTATGACTATGACTTGATAGTTATCGGTGGAGGATCTGGTGGACTTGCTGCTGGAAAGGTACTTTCTCTTTGTTACGATGGATTTCAAATCTTTTTTCTTTGTATGTATTCTCGTTACATTGAACACATTCCAAAAATACTTGTTCATTCAATGGCTACAACATCTTCAGATGACTAAATTTACCAAGTAAGCATGGTTCTAGGTTTAATCAGACCTCGAATGCTAACTAATAAATGGAGGTTCAAACGAGCAAAATAAGCATCTGACGTTTGAGTCTCTTCCATCTGGGAAGCAGGCGCAGAGTTGACTTAAATAGATTTCATCAACTCTATTGTATACGTCTTCCTCATTCAAACCGACCGAGTATAATTTACAAATAGCTTATCAAAAGCTCTTATGATGTTCGCGTGACTTTCAGACTTCTAAATCTGTTAAAGGTCATATGACGGCAAGTGTATGGTTTTGTACTAGGTTTAGAAACAGTTGTGTCAACCCTCCTTTACAACCACCGTCACCAAGTATGAAGTAGCACACATCTATATGAACAACACTGAATTAAAAAGACAGTAACGAATGAGTCCCAAATATATCTGGATTCACACGATTCTCGTAAAATACTTATGTTTTATGTGCAAGCAGTTTCGTCATCTACATATCCCGTAGGATTGAAAGCAAGTGAACCAATAACACTAGAGGGATGTTTATGACAAAATGCAAGATATATGAGGAATTAAAGTCTTGATCAACAATAGCAGGTATATCCTATTCGAACTGTAGCTCACTGTGAGCTGACCCTTTTGTTAATGTTCATATCAAAAGCCTTTTGTAACATGATTTGTTTGTCTGGCAAACCTCAATAAAAAACGATGTCTCAAGAAATCTTCATTTAATAAGTCGAAACAACCGTCAATTCAAGAAATACGGATAAAGAATCAACTGTTATACTTTCCTGCACACTCATTGGTTTAGATTTTAGTTAACTTGTGTAACATGCATCGTTTTCGGTCTTAGTAGTACAGATACTTTCATTGGTTGACTTTCTTTAGACCTCTGATTTTCTTAATTCATTGTCTGGTTTTTTGTTTTTGATTTGTGTTTGCCCAGCTTACGTAGCTTTCACATTTTTTTTGTTTTGCGCCTTATGCTTTTGCAAAGAGTGCAAATTTAACCTGCTAACTCTTTTGTTCTGATTAATCTGTATCTTCTACAGACCAAAATAGTTTTTGTAAAACTAAGGTTCCGTTCCAGCATATATTTGCACGTATCCTATTCGAAAAGCTTTCGGCGTTAATGCGTTGTCCAGTCTTACTTAAGCGTGTAATAAAACTGTCCCAACCACAGAACATTGGGTTTTGCTGCGGGTATTACTTTTCATTGTGTAATATATGTACTACCCAAAATATTTTTCTAGAACCATTCTTATTTAGTGTAAATATTGAGTAGGATGATCATTTCCTGTTTACTTCTGCAATATGTCGACTAAGGACAAGAAATACCTGTAAATTTGAGAATAACTCAGTAAACATTAAATAGTGCAATTAATTGTAGGCTTTTAGAAGGTTCTTCAAAAGGGTCGTAATTATCGTCTGGAGATAATCGGCCAAACAATAGAAAATTGTTCTCAGTAGTTTATTTCAATTTACAGCTTGTGTACATTTTCAAATTAGTGTTTCCTCTGGTTTGTGAATCGTACCATTTTATTTTTATTTTGGAGAAGCATTATAAACTAACCGACATTATGTCAGAGCCAACCATATATCTATCCCAGACTCATTTACTCATCATCTAAAGAAAGATTAAAATCATAACCCTTCTGGCTCGTGTTTATTCACACCATTCCTGGTTTAAACTCCTTTTTGTCGTGAATATACGAATATTACAATCAGTTTCATTGGGAGTCCTATCTCTGATTATCAGTCACCCAGTCATCAAAACCGTAAAACCTGGCAGATAGGTACATCTGTTCAAGTTGCCACATCAAATCAACATAAGGTTATGGGATTATTAGGGTAAATAACGAAGTAGTAGAATTAGTGATCATAAGAAGGAATCAGCACAAAAATCATGATTTGAGAAGAAATAATTAATTTCTGGGATCAGTGTTATAAAATAATTCCAAGACTTGAAATTGAAAGAAAGACAAAGAGTGAATCCATCTGTTCCATTGTGACCGATGCGAAACTGTTTCCAACCACTGGTCACCACTGTTATATGAAGGGTTTGAATCGTTCATTGGCTTACGCTGTCACATACTCTACTCTCAGGACGGGTACTTCAGGGTCAGGGCAAGGCAATGTAAATTTTAGTTTGGTTTATTGTGAAACGTCAGTACATGGTATTCTTGTTTTCTATCCTGTAGGAGGCTGCTAAATACGGTGCGAAAACAGCCGTTTTGGACTACGTAGAACCTACTCCAATAGGTACCACCTGGGGATTAGGTGGGACGTGTGTAAACGTTGGATGTATCCCGAAAAAATTAATGCACCAAGCTGGACTCTTAAGTACGTTTTGCAATATATTATTTCGATATTTGACCATTATTCTTTAGTCAATAGGATAACTAGAACCTAAACTCTCAGTGTGATTTAAATCGTCACGGTTCTCTGAGTTTTAATTTTCATGAGATTAGCATCTATCTGAAATTTATATTTTTCAGCATAGCCTTATCACATATATTTATGTGCTCTAATAACACAATGTTTTTATGATTGCTAGGTCATGCTTTGGAAGACGCAGAGCATTTCGGATGGAGTTTGGATCGTTCGAAAAGTAATGTTTGTTTTTCTTTTTTTGTTCAACCACCTTTAAATACGAAAATTATCACCACTGTTTTCAATAATTAATTTTTCTGAACATTCATTCGTTGTGGTCCAGTGAAAATCTAGTCTACTAGATATAAAACATCAGTGTTGTATCTTCACACATACCGTGATAGTCTGCAGATGAAATTAAACTAATAATATGATGGCTCATTTGTTTCTAACTAAAATGATTACACAGTTTTTGTTAGACTCGTTAAAGTCGATATTTAGCATCATCTCTCTTCGTAATTTATGTTTATAAGATCTTCACTAAGATAAATAGCTTATGTTCTCAGATTACTTTTGGTTTGGTGATGTATTGATACGAAAACTCACTATGTTTATTAAAATCTTAAAAAAACAAGTTGGAAAATTAGTAAATCCTTATCAGGCGGCTAATGGTTTCATTGTTTAGTGTATCTCATTAACAGACTGACTCAACAGTATTTTCTATCATTCACCAAGTTCCTGTCTGGTATTTATTAGTCGAATAAGGGAATCTCTAACCATTGTAACTGACTCTAGTTCTTGCCGGGTTATTTTACAATCTTTAGTTCTTCAACTATATTATTTAAAATGAAGAATATTAGTGACTGCATTAAGACGTGTAATTTGTGATCCGCCTTAACTTATGAAAATATTAACTGTCTAATACTTGCCGACTAATATGTACTTCAGTAAATGATTTAGACTTTCGAAATAACTGAGATTAGGAATAGGTTAACTGAAACCTTATCCCTTTGTGTCTTATAACATCGGGTACTTATTCGTTTTCAAACGTATTTATATTCTTTTGGACATCTTTAACCAATTCCAAGTGATATTAGTGTGGTGAATGAGAACACAAGTGGGGACAACCAAATGTATTTGAATATAAAATTACAGAATGTCTTAGTAAAATATGAGGACCATACAGTAAATACTTCATTTGCAAAATATCAGTCAATCGTCCCAGACTTTATTGTTCCTTCATTTCCACATCAATCATTCTCTTTTCTTTGATCTTCTTAACCTTCTGCCACCAGACATTTTACTTTCTACTGATGATACATACTACTCATATCTGTCGACATCAGTATCACACACCATATTAATACTTAAGCTTCGGTGCACTACTTTTGGAAGTTGTTGTTTAATTAGAAACCACATGTGACACATTAGCCATCTGTAACTTCCCAGAGGAATTATTATTCTGCCTAGCCCTAACAATCACGATTAATAGTTCAAAAGTTTTAATAAAAGGAGTTCATAAAAGAGATGCTTCAAGGCTTTTAGTGGTTAATGTTCATTTCTGTAGTCATAGTAGCCCTACAAACTGTAGCACAATGATGACTGATTTATTGATTTATTTGTAATCATTAAATTTTGAACTCATTTGGTATTTATCTGTTTTTGATATGTACCTCATCACCTGATACTGCTGTATAGATGAGCATGATATATTTTATTATCGACATGTATTAAATACTTACATGGATGTGATAAGCTAGTGTCTTATGTCCCTTTTCCCTAAGGATTTTCTGCAAATTATGGTTTGAAATCACACATCTTGTTACGTCCTTGAATCTGTCTACCCACTTAGTGCCGAGTATAATGTAGATTAAGACCTTGACACGATAGACTGACTGGCTTAACCTTGAGGCCAATATGCGTGAGTTCGAAATAGGGGTAGAGAGACGAAAACTATTCTGTCCCTGATTGGCTGGCAAGCACGAGAGAGGGAGAGAAGACAAAGACAGATGGAACACTAATCACTTTATTCCAACCCGATCTAGCACTCGAATTCCCAATTCAGATTAGGGTGAAAAGTTACATGAATAAATAGATGACTAAGCGGACCACAACGTACAATAATTAGAAAAATACAATCATGTCCAAAACTGGGGAATTATAGTAGAAAATAGGGTACAAAAGATTACGTCTAAATGACAATAGCTTTAGGGAAGAAAATGCTATGGCAATGAATTATACATCAAACGAAAGCTTATGATCTGTAGAATAGGCTAGGGGCAAAAGAAATGTTACAGTTTTACAAGCTTTGAATTAAATGAATTAACGTCTCCGAAAATAGCTTCCGTAATTTGTTCAGGCTTCTAGTTTTGCGGATCACATCACATCTTATAAGGTGTCATATGAAAAACTTAAGCTTTGTTGTGTTTCCACTATGTTTTCTAATTTCAGTTTCGCATAATTGGTCAACTATGGTTGAAGGGGTTCAAAGTCATATTGGTTCTTTGAACTGGGGTTATAAAGTTGCACTAAGAGATAATGAAGTCACGTATCTAAATGCTAAAGGGAGGCTAATAAGCCCTCATGAGGTGCAGGTATGTTTTGTTTGGGTGAACTTCTTAAAATAATTATTTAAGGTCAATTGTATGCCTTATTTCCGAAATTTTTTGGATTGTTTTTCATTGTTTATCCCACCCAGTTTCCAAATCTTGCGGTAGTTCTGCAGAAAATTGTCTTCATTTATTTCATGTCTAAAGTTTAAGCAAATGTGGAGTTTGATAAACAGTTGTTGATTGCTTATGTTTCTGAAATATAATTCGCTGTTCGTCACTACCCATACATAATCTAACAACAAATATGTATCGTCGGTTTATTGTGTAAATCATCAACTTTTTTAAATGAAGAGCGAAAACATGAGTTTTTAAACCTAGTTCTTGTTATTGGAGGCATACCTACAATGTTAATGAAAACTTGTGCTATACTCTAAGTATGGATAAATATATCTGATCACCATATGCCAGGTTCAGATATTACTATCAGTTGATGTTTTTGTTATTCCTCCCTAGTGTACATCTTTTGGATGGGATTAGTTTCTATATGATTTAGTTATTGAGATATATCATACTTTGAGTTTATTTTTAAATCCTATTTAATGATCTCATTTTTTAAAATACAACCTTCCTGAAGCTGAGTTTTTTAATGCTTAGGATAGTATTTGAATGCACAATACAATGTATAATTGACTTGGAGAGTCTTGATGTTGTTTTCCTATAGATCAACATCAAGTAGAATTTCAACATTTAATGACTACTCTCTGTTTTTTCCCAAAATGTTTATTAAATTTAATTTTATTTCGGGTACTAACTGTCTGTTATCGTGGCATGAAAACCAAACATTGTGATGTCAGATTTTCTTTAAAAATCTTCACCCCATCCAGATAACAGATAAGAATCAAAAAGTATCTACAATAACTGGAAACAAAATTATCTTAGCTACTGGTGAACGTCCAAAATACCCAGAAATACCTGGAGCAGTTGAATATGGGATCACAAGGTTTGTTGTATTTTCTTAAATCATTGTACTGGTTATGTTTATGTGTTTATCAATACATCCACACGCAACAGGCAAATAATATATGAATAAGTTATTATGCATTTAGCTTTATTGAATATAACCATGTGTTCACTTGGTCTTTTACATATCTAGGTCAAATATTTGTTGAATTTGATCACATTGTTCATATAGTCTTTTAACAGTCGCCTGTGTGTTGTCCGGCTAAATGGCTCCGTAAGAACTCGGAAGGATAGGGACACATGTCGTTGCCTTTTCGTCGTTTCTGCCTACGCTCCCACTGACTGCAGCCATAATGAAGTGAAAGATGACTTTTACAGAAAGCTCTCTGCACTTCTTCAAAAAGCTAAACGCTCAGACATAGTAGTCGTAGCGGGCGACTTTAATGCCCAGGTAGGCAGCTTAAATCAAACAGAAAGACATTTAGGTGGGTGTTTTAGTATTCCGGCTCAACGAACCGATAATGGTGATCGTCTGTTGCAACTATGCTCAGACAATCGTTTATTTTTAGCAAGCACTAATTTTAAGCATAAGGAGAGACATCGTCTAACATGGCGACCACCTGCACCAAACCAACGATGGACTCAAGTAGACCATATTGTCATCAGTCATCGTTGGAGAGGCTCAATATAAGATTGTCGCTCGTATTGGAATACTTGTTTAGACTCTGATCACGCTTTAATACGAGCACGCATTTGTCTGCGCCTCAATGGACGCAGGAAACGTACACTAAGAAGACCTATTAGGATTGAACTGGAGAACGAAAAAGCGAAAAGTAAATTCTAGGAACAACTGAGTTCACATCTAGGCAGTTCTGTAAAGGAGACTGACCCAGATGCTGCTTGGAAAGACGTACGAAGAGCTGTGGAAACAGCAGTAACATCTATTAGTTATTTAAACCATAGGGTTCCAAAAAATCAGTGGATTTCTTCTAAGTCTATTTCACTGATAGATTCTCGTAAACTCATGCCATCAGGCTCTGAACACGACGAAGAGCGTAAACAAATTAGATCTAGGTTGACTAAAAGCCTAAGAGACGGTCGTGAGCAGTGGTGGGCAATGAAAGCAAAAGAGATGGAAAGGCAGTGGCTGTAGGCAACACCAGGCAACTACTCAGACTAATAAAAGAAGCCGGCATTAAGAAGTCAAGTGTAAGTGAGACAATCTCCGAAAAAGACGGAACCCTTATCTGCTCTCAACCCAAACGTTTAGAACGATGGGCGGAACACTTTAAGGAGCAGTTTAGCTGGCCTTCAGCTACTGCACAACTACCCACTATTCCCAGAAAACTTGAATGGAACACTAAAATAGGCCTCCCGACCCTACTTGAAGTTTAAAAGGCTATAACTAATCTGAAACGAGGAAGAGCAGCTGGTCCTGATGGATTGGCTCCAGAGGTCTTTAAATATGGTGGTCCAATTTTAGCGATTAGGTTGACTAATATGCTGGCTGAAATCTGGGAAACGGACGTAATCCCATCTGACTGGTCACAATCTCTGATTGTCCCAATATATAAGAAGGGGCCAAAATCATCCTGTGATAACCATAGAGGAATTAGTCTGACTAACATAGCATCTAAAATACCAAACCCATTAATTATCGGGCGCCTAACTAAGACTCGTGAACTCCAAACACGAGAAAATCAGGCTCTCTTCAGACCTGGTTGTGGCTGTATCGACCACATACTCACCATTCGTCAAGTTTTAGAGCACAGACATGCTTATCGGCGTCCGACAATAATAGTGTTTTTTTTACTTGAAAGCAGCATTTGACTCTGTCGACCGATAGGTTCTGTGGCAGTGTCTGTCATTAGAAGGTGTACCTGAGAAGTACATAAACCTTGTGAAGGCTCTTTACTCGAACACTGCCAGTCGAGTGAGAGCTTATGGCGAACTGTCATTTGATTGTACAACCTCAAGTGGTGTCCGACAAGGCTGTCCACTATCCCCACTTTTGTTTAACTTCATTATAGACCTGTTGCTGGAAATAACACTATCGTCGACTGAATTTTCAGGAATTGATCTCCTACCAGGAGGTTCACTTATCGACTTATAATACGCAGATGACATAGTCTTGTTTGGTGAAGACACTGGCGAAATGCAGAGTCTTCTGTTAGAACTGAGTAATAATGCAAGGATGTTTGGGATGCGTTTCTCCCCATCCAAATGTAAATTAGAACAACATATGTAAGCGAACAATTGTTTTCAATTAGATCGTCATCAGGCTTTACTCTAATATACATGAATATTTATATAAAAATGTTAGACCAATCAAGGCTATTTGAGTCAATAATAATCACAATGAAATAGAAATACGTTACCAAGCATAATAATAGTTAAAAATACAAGTTGATAGTGGGAAGACAGGTGTACTGATAGTAGTAAGAATAGTAAATTACGATAACAAAAGTCTTATCAATAATTAAACATTGAGAATTAAGAGGTCAAACGTGGGTAAATAGTCTGGAATAGTAATCACAAAACATTAAAATCATTACGTAATAAGAAGTATGTAAGTAAATAGATAGTGAAGAACACAAACGGAAAGAGGTAGAAAATTACAAACAAACAAAAAATGATAACCAAAATAAAAAAATAAAAAAAAATTTTTTTTACAAATAATAATAATGTAAATTATTAAGTTATGTCCGGCCATGGAAGGGATAGGGGGGTTACGAATTTCTTCTGTACACATAAATTGGGATGGAATGTACGAATCCCTATGGCTTCTGCTATATGAAGTAGACGGGAGCGAACTCCGTTGGGAAACGATGGAGGTATACGATAGATCACTTGAAATGATTTCAATTTATCAACAGTATGACCACTATCAATTAGATGTGCCAAGATAGAACTGCGTATTGTTTTTATTTGGCCCTTTCCAAACCATGCTGGTAGATGTTCACATATGTTTACATATGTTGTTCCAAATGTAAATTGTTACTCCTGGACTGGCCTGCGTCAACACCTGAACTAAGGATAGGGAGTGAAGTAGTCGAACGCGTCGACAACTTCACTTATCTTGGAAGTCTGATCAACACTAAAGGGTTGGTATCTGGCGAAATCTCAACACGGATTCAAAAAGCTCGTTCGGCATTTGCCAACTTACGTCACCTATGGCGAAGACGAGATATCTGTCTATCAATTAAGGGACGAGTAGACTGCGCAGCAGTTCGCTCTGTTCTACTTTACGGCTGTGAAACATGGCAATAAAGAGTAGAAGATGCCACAGATGTCTTAGAAATATTGCTCGCATCTGCTGGGATCACCGGGTAAGTAATAGTGAGGTTAGACACAGGGTATTAGGGAATGATGGTAAATCAGTTGATGAGGTCATGAATCTTCATCGACTGAGATGGTTGGGCCACGTGTTACGTATGCCTGAACACCGATTACCACGACGCGCAATGCTGAGTAGTGTAAGGGATGGTGGGAAGAGAGTTAGGGGCGGCCAAACCAAAACATGGCATCAGTGCTTGAAGTCACTAACTTCTAGTCTGAGCCATGTTGGCAGATGCAGACTACTTGGTTGGGGTCCGCGTGACTATCGTAACCAATGGTTGGAGACTCTGTGTGACATGGCTCAGAATCGATCACAATGGTGTCGGTGTATACACTCTCTATCTTCCCTTAAACCTTGAGATTAAAATTGCTTCATAACTTTTTTCCTGCCTATACTATATCCTTATATACAACCTTTCTTTATGTTATATCCCCTGGTGAATCATGAATGGTAAATCTGAGGTCTATTATGGACAAAGGTAATATGCCTAATTCCTATTGTATAGTTGTTAAATAACTAACCTAATTGTATTCGTGTTCCTCTTACCGTAACCTTATTTTGACCTTTGAACTATTATTATTGATTACTTTCCCCCTATCCACAGCCACATTGGCCAATTATTGTACAAATATTATTTTTCTATTTTTTGGTATATGGGGTCTGTTTGGTTAGTATATAAACCCAGTATGCTTGTGAATATTGATTCATATTACCGAGGCTGTTATTTGTGTTCTGGACTCAACTGGCTGGGTTAGGCAGATCGCAGGATCGGTTAGCACTCTAGTCTGCTCGTTCGGGTTTCGAGTCACTGCTCCAGTAGATAATTCGCTGCTCTCTAATTGACGGTCTCATCACCTCACCCATCAACTAATAATCTACTCGGCCACAGATATAACACTTTATATACTACCACCACTAAATTAATTACTTCTATGAATCCGGTGTTCATCTTGTTGTGCTAACGAGGTATGGTAACTTGGACCGATGCATATATGTGCCTGGTCCTACGTTGTAACTGACTGATATAGTTTCTTGATGTAGACTGAATGAATCACCTATTTATTTTACGCACTACTAATGAACTGGTTAATGATTGATAATGATAATAATTGTATGATCGGTGACTTTGTGGTTTCCAATAACCTTGATTTTCACCCAACGTAAATCTTGTTTCCAACTGTAATTTAGTTATATTTGTTAACCTTTAACGGTAACACCCAGCTACATGTTACCGTAAACTTGATGCTAAGTGAGTAGCTAGATAATTGTACTTTTCACTTCTCATATTTGTTGGATAATAAGTAAGGTTTGTGAGTTAATCTTGATTTCATTTGGTGTGAGATGAGGCGTAGTCGAGAATTTAGTCATCTTATTTAGAGACTAAGTGCTGAGGAGTTTTACTAATCCTGACTTTTTCAAACACCCCATATGTCGTTGTTCTGACCCGGACATTATCTAATCGTTTGAATACCCTATACAACAATGTGTTTATGACTGATTTAGAAAGCTCACTTGTTCTTTTTGCGAACTCACGTTAGTTGTGACCTTTGGGGAGGTGTCTGTGTACCTATCAAAGGATGAATTTACTGTATGACAAACCCCTTGGTATTCCTCTACGTCTGGGAAACACAGTCTGTTGAAATCGATAACGTCTATAGGCTACAGGCTCTAGATTGTAGGTATCTCCAAAGCGTAGTCCGCGTATGGTGAGACCTAGTGAGCAATGCTAAATTGAATAAAGTTGGGAAATCATTTAATGAGGTTGTAAATCTTCATTAACTGACGTAACTGGAATTTGTGTTGTTTATGCCTAACAACCAGCTAGCGGGATGTGCAATGTTGGCTACAGTATGAATGGTTTAGAAAACTAGAAGGTAAGCCAAGACATAAGTTCATGAAGTCATTGGCTGTTGGTCTTGACCTTGCTATGCTGTTGTAAATTGTACGGTTCAGATAGATACGAATATCTGTCAGATTCTCACTTTTATTTGCCTACCGATTTATACAGAGTAAATGAGCATTTCTTCTATGCTAGATTCAGTTTGGTGCAATATTTATGCCAGTCAGAAAAATTATCTATTTTATCTAAGCATCACACAAAATTATGTTTCTTACTAAGTTCAATTGCGAAACATACTATATGCATTCGTAAATCGTTTAACCTTTTCAGTGATGACTTATTTTCTTTGCCATACTTCCCGGGCAAAACACTAGTCATTGGAGCAAGTTACGTTGCACTGGAATGTGCTGGTTTCCTTGCTAGTTTAGGTGGTGATGTTACCGTTATGGTTCGTTCCATTTTACTTCGTGGTTTTGATCAACAAATGGCTGAAAAGGTTGGTGACTATATGGAGAATCATGGAGTCAAGTTTGCAAAGTTATGTATACCAGATGAGGTTAGTGATTTATTTCTTATATAATTTCAAAACAAAATAATGAAATGTTTATGGTTTAATAGAAAAACAATTAAAACATAGACTTTTCCTGCTCAACAATATATTAGTGTTTATAATAATAATTCTCTTCATAAAATTAGGCATTTTCCCGTATTGATCAAAGGAAGCAGACATGTTATTTGAATACATTTTATCTCAATCTTACAATTAGTTCAAATCCTTACATTTTTGTGACTCAACTAGAGAAGCCAAAATCTTTAAATTAAAGAATGATTTTGTATTGGCAATCTCCTAAAATTTAGAATATAGTAGTCTTGGGCTATTTTCAATAATCTTAACGTCAAGCTCGTCTAAGGATCACTAGTATTATATTACTATAATTAAGTTAATCAAATAAATTTCTGCCAGAATTGTTGATCCTATTTATTTACTCTCTAAGTTACCACCTATTTCTTACAAATTAAAGTTGTGTCCATCGTATCATTTTAGCTAATCAAGATAACTTATCGGTTTTTTCTATTGACGATATTTTTTTTGCTTAGATATATTTGCATATCATTTGCTTATAGCTAACTAAAAGATAGAAAGTTTTTGTTTAATCGATGTAGCTCTACTTATTTTTTATAAACTAAAATAAAATTGAGACTATTATCAACCATTTTTTAAAAGTTATCTTCATTTAGTTTTCAAGAAGCAATTTTGGTTGTCGTTAATGTTTAAAAAATTTGAAATTTAAAGTACCACTAAAATTCTAATGTATTTCTATAATTTAATTATTTGCCTAGTAAAATTTCAGAGCAGTACTCTTATTTATAAAGTATAATTGGCTTTTTTCTTCTATTATTAGATCAAACAGCTGAAAGCAGTAGATACTGAAAATAATAAGCCTGGACTTTTGCTTGTTAAGGGTCATTATACCGACGGTAAAAATTTTGAAGAAGAATTTGAAACGGTATGTCTATACATCAAATCCATAACCTTTCCCAAACGTTTTGCATTGATATTACGATAATGCTATCATTTTCTTAAAGGGAAGGCCATTCTTAATAGTTGACAAGATGTTTGACACACTCATATATGTTCTTGTGTGTTACATTTTCCTTACGTTTCCTAATTTTATTATTTACTCCATTTGATTAGTTATAACCGCGAATCGATTAATTAAAATGTAGCTAGCTGACGGAGATAAATTCGCTCACTTGTTACATTCATTGGTATTTCCATAAACTAAACATTTGATCACGTAATTACAGTTTTCACTTTTCATATTCAAGAATTTAAAGTGGAGCAGATATTATTCATTGGAATCACTGGACGCATGTACAACTCCTTTTTCTATTATGATATCTTATTTGAACTATTAAAATTAACTCTTATTCATTCAATTTTGAGATTCCATTGAATCAAATTGCTGACAGTTCAGTAGTTTCATTTTACTTTTTTCTTAAAATCCATCACTCAGTCAAATAATTAATACTCGACCAGTTGTTAACAATCTCCATCATTTTCCGTTTTGGGTTACTTTTTTAATTGTATTTTATATACTATGCTAACTCATTTACCAGGTACTTGAGTATAAGCCACACCGTAAGTGTAAGGAGTTATAATGCTGTCTCGTCTCCTAAAGTAAATTAGGTAGAGTGGAGTTCGAAATCGGAATTTAGTGGTTGGAAGTATAATGCATTAACCACTTTCCACCTACAATACTATGTTATACCAATATTTTATGTTCGACTCGTTACCTATACAACAAAGTAATCATTAATGTAAATACAATCAAAGTTTCAGGTGTTTTTGATCATAAATCAAATATAACGGTTGTAATAAGATCAAATTTATTGTTGTTTCTCTTACTCAGTATTTGCAAACTTGAAACCCGTAGACATCTTTCTCAACAAATTCTGCTAGTGACTACATAGATTATTAGCGTCATTTGATCACATTGCAGTACAACCAATGGTTAGTTTATTTCAGAAGTCTCATTTCATTCTACATTATTTGGTGTTTCGTAGTCATATAGTTCAGTACTATTCTGTTCGGTTCACTAATAAATTGACTTCTCAATAATGTTATAACTAGCAGAAGCAAACAAATATTTCGTTTCCGTAGTAAAATTTCCTTAATAACCCTTATTATCTTTGTTTAGTTAAATATCATTTTCTCTTATTATACTGTTATGAATTATGACAACTCAAACTGCTATACTTTTGTTCCGGATTTTGCCCTTATGTCTCTATTTGATGATCAATTTACTAACTGTTGTTCTGCCTGATTTCCTCAGCCCGTTTAAATGTATACCCATACTAGACCTTGATAAGTCCAAAACTGAAAACCAAGCGTCTTAAGCTGTTTCCTCAACAGTTCCTCAGTTAGAAAGACTGTGCTCAGCATACTAAAAATCAAATTTCTGACGAGTATATTGGGTTGTCGAGTTTTTAAGTGTTGTAATTCAAATCATTTTACTTGTTCTCGAATTAGTTAGGAAGATCGACACAACATGAGAATTAGTATGAACACCAGTCGGTCCAAGTTATTAAATGAGTGATAAGAATGGTAATTTTGTGCAGTCAACCAGTTAATGAGGTTTTTTTAAACAAGATAATTGTAACACACCGCTCGTTTAATTTACTTTTTAACTAATCATTTTATTAAATCTTAGTGTAACATTAATCCAATGAACTGTGAGAAATCCGTTTTAAGTAGATTACTTTTGACATTGTCATATTCAGTAACCTGGATTAAACAACTGACTTTCCATAAAACCACGCAAAATGATGATAATAATCTAATTATTTATCCTCATTTTGTAGGTGATTTTTGCTGTTGGTCGTGAACCACAATTATCGAAGGTTCTTTGTGAAACCGTGGGTGTTAAACTAGACAAGTAGGTTGCAATCACTGTTTTAAGTTTTAAAAAATAAGGTTTTCGGACATATTAACACAGACTGATATAAACTGCTGAAGTAATAAAAACTGATGATCACTACATTGTTATTTCATTCTGAATCAGAAATGCTTGCAAGTGCACACTCATAACCCCTCATTTATGACCAATTCCAAAATATTAGGCGTCATTGTAAGTACGATTCTGTTTAACTACTAAGCCAAAGTCCAACATTTCAAACGCCATAACTTTATTCGATTCACAATATGTAATTATCATAATTTAGTATCATGATGTAAATACACCTCATCCTCGACTTCATTTACTACAGGTCATCTCAGAACAAGTCATACATGATGATCTGATCATTCAGTTTGATCTTTGATTTATCTGTTGATGAGCGAAAAAAACTTACCATTTGACTAATACTGTTAATAAATAACTACTATATTCTCATCCATTTTTCCTTACTGAATTCTAATTGATTAAACATTACATACAACCATTCACTAGAGAAATGGGTGGTAGATGGTGAATTAACGCTAAAGCTAGAGTAGCCCATGTTTTTAACACATAGTGAATAAATATTATACTACTCACATTGGTAATAACTAGATTTTGAACAATATAACTTTTTTTGCTTCAAAACAGGTTAGTCCGTAATTAACTAATATGGTGATAATACAAAAAACGCCATAACAGATCTATTGATGAATTATCATGTGAATCCATTTTCCAAATGCCTTGTTACTTAACTTTTTATAATCATGAAAAAATAACTGATTCACAAGTTTGAGTCCTAGGGGTAGTAGTAGTGTTTTTACATGACTCACGTGATTATATGAGCAAAATAAATGAATAAATCTTTTTTGCATACGAAGCTGAATAATATTTGTAGTAAGTTGACCGTAATTCACAGTAGAAAGGGATTGGAAAAATAAAGTCAAAAAGAGCCTATTATTTGAACTAAATGCATCAAGGAGAAGCTATACAAATTTCACATTTCTCTTTCCTTGCTCCGGTTGAATGTCTTACGCAAAATATCTTAAAATTGGTTATTTTTGTAGATGCTTGTTTTTTAACTTATGAATGTATTATCACTTCATTTGTTCGACTTTTATCATTATTTATTTTCATTGCTATCTCCCTCTCTGCTGTTTGTTATACTAACAAACAGAGACTATTGATGTTATTATGCCAATTTGAATATGATGACAGTTAGGCTTTCTCATTAGTGTTTATTTGAGAGTTGATTGAAATAATTCAATTGTTTGTCTAGTTTCGCTTGTTACTGGGGTACATGTTCAGTATATAGTTAATTTTGTGCTAGTTTCAAGAACGGTTTATTGTAATATCTCCATTTTGTTTGATTTCTCATTAATAAAATGTATAATAATTCAGGAATGGTCGAGTTGTATGCACAGATGATGAACAAACTACAGTCAGTAATGTTTATGCCATTGGAGATATCAATGCTGGAAAACCGCAGTTAACTCCCGTGGCAATTCAAGCTGGGCGCTATTTGGCTAGACGTCTGTTTGCTGGTGCAACTGAACTGGTAGGTTTAAAATAATAGAACTCACGATTCTTCAAACTTCGTTTTATCCATTCATTCCAATTCAAGTTTCTATTTATTGCTCATCGTACATTCATTCTACATTCCTTTTCTGTTAAAGCGATATGTAACCCAGCAAAGTTCAATCATCCAGAAGGCATTAGACTTCGGTACTTCGCAGTAAATAAATGATCTTAAGTGAATAACTGATTAAATATCACTAACTCTATCTACGTTCATAATCTTGACTTTCAATCACATGTTTCTATGTAAATAATAAATAAATATCCCATTCTCATGATGAAACAAAATAAAACATAAGGCCTTTAACTATTTGACTGTTTATCAAGTATACCGAGTGGTATCGCACAGTTACGTCATCATTCTAAAGGTGCAGATAACTTAGGTTTGGCCGATTTGTATTGAATAACTGTTACATTTATTCTTAGCCGTATATCTTTTCTCACTTCAAACTTACATCATTCTTCATTCTACTAACTATATTCGATGTACTTTTTTCATATATACTGTTTTAATATGAATATTTATATAAACTTTGGTATCTTTGTTCTTCTGATCACTACACATTGGTGACTAATTTCAAGTTGTATCAACCGAACTAAAATGTTGCTTCATTAAGTAACAGCACCGATTATAAACATAAGTGTTAGCTTATTCTACCGTTAATTTCCTTTTGATAAGTTTTTCTTATCATGATTTCACATTATAAATATATGGTTTACAACAATAATATAATAATAACGGATTAGTGGTGTAACATGATATTTATATAGTTTCATAGTGACTATCAAAGTAATATCGAATAATTGGCTAAGTAATTGGGAGAAAGAGGATTATAGTAAAGTAATTATTTGTAAAAATTTGAAAAGATGTAATTATACATATGCTAAATATTAGAATATTTAGTAAGATAATTAACAAAATGTTTTGATTAAAAAAAAATCATATTTATGGAAGTTATGTAAAAATCAAGAGACAGATACTACAATATGTAAATGCTCAGATGGTGAGAACTTAGAAAATCGAATATTTTTTTAAACGAATATGGTTAATCCAAATTCAGCTAAAACTCACTCTTATATCGTTGGCCAATATAAGAGGAGGGCTTGTGCAAACGTTTTTTGTCCATAAAGATTAGTTTAATGATCATGGATTTCAATTATAAATATATAATATACTTGTAATATCCCAATGAGTAGAAAATTTAGATTTTCTGACGTTTCGTGATTCAGTGTAGGCCACTTCTTCAGAGGATAAATGACCAAATTAAAATTAATCCAAGTTTAAATAGTACAACGGACAATCGGTACTCAGTTCCTCGTATTCACCCTCTTGATTTGATCACGTGTATTCAGTCTAGTTAATTTGTTCAAATAATCTATAATCAGATCCACAATTTTCATGACTGTATTATAAAACCTAGAAATATATGCAATAATTAGTTCATCCATTATCTCTCTCTTTTACTCCTTGATTACATAATGACTTTTTCAATTCTCTTCACAACAAAATAGCTCAGATATTTTCGACTTTCTTCAAAAACTCAACCTTTCCCAAAGTTACTTAAATCAATCGTTGTTACAATTGTGTTTATTTCAATATTTGTTCCTATCTTTCATGATTAAGGGTATATATAGTGTTTAATTACTATCAAAACTTGTTTTTCATTTGTCAGCACTAGACTATGTAGTTTTTCACATGTATATATTTTTTATAATTATTTCTGTTTGTACATGTTCTCATTTAGACTGACTATTCCAATGTTGCTACAACGGTTTTCACTCCACTTGAATATGGGGCTTGTGGATTAAGTGAAGAAGATGCAATTGAAAAGTATGGTGATAAAGATATTGAAGTATGTCTGGAAATATTTTATTTTCTCTTTTTCTTAATGAAAATTTCATTACTGACCACAATATATAAATTTTATCAAAACCTATAAATTGGTTAGCAAAAATGTATAGTGGCTAGCAGTGGAATCTAGGACGCTTGTTTCGTCCTATTTGGGACTCGTCAGCTGGATATACCAGCATCTCAGAGTCGATGTTCACTCTGGGACTCGAACCCAGTACCTTTCCCTTCAAACGCCATCACGTTATCCACTCAGCTACTGAGTCCTAATAGCCACGTGCTTGTGCAATGGGGTGAAGTTTAAATTCACTTAGTATTGTTTGTTCTAATCTTCCCATTGATGTTTAGGACTGCAACTGGTTAGTCTCTAATTGGCATATGTGCATACTATGCGTATTGCTTCGATATGGCCTTAATTCACAAGCATTGTAAGCAAAGATGGATAGTGGCTAGCAGTGGAATCCAGGACGCGCGTTTCGTCCTATTTGGGACTCGTCAGCTGGATGTACCTGCTAGCCACTATCCATCTTTGCTTACAATGCTTGTAAATTAAGGTCATATCGAGGCGATACGCACAGTATGCACATATGCCAATTAGAGACTAACCAGTTGCAGTCCTAAACATCAATGGGAAGATTCAAACAACCAATACTAAGTGAACCTATAAAATGGTTGTTTTCAATATGCTGACATTGAAATAAACCTTGTTTATTGTTAGTTTCATTGAATTCAGTCAAACATAGCAACAACTCACAGCATTGAACCACATAAACAAATCACATTCGTTCACTATCTTCCCTGTTAGTCACCGTAATTTTCGTTTTAATAATTGATTATACGTACCATGTTAAAAGATCTCAACACATTGTGACATTTAGACAAACGAAAATCATACGAATAAATCTTCTGAAAAAAAGATCACTATGATGAATATTTATGCACTAGAAGAAACCAATTTCCGTATAAATTAAATCATGGCTGTACTAGATGATTAAGTCATTAAACCAATTGTTTACCGGTGGCATAATTGGTGTCATTCACGATTTCTATTTTGATATTCCCATTGATCAATACAAATGTAACGTGTATGTTGAAATTGATAACTGCACACTTCAAGTTCAGTTAGCAATGTTAAATCAGTATTTTTATCAAGCTATAATAATAAATCATTTCAATACAAAGCTGTCATTGTTGAGGGATATCTAGCCATACTGCAACAAATTCGTCTATAACTTCCATAGAGTGTCCACCATATAATGCCACAATCCTGACGAAAAAGTTAATTTGTACAGCGTTTAAACAAAATTTTTATTCTTACTCGTTTTTTGGCAGTCATGTAGTTCAACAGTGTTTTTTCACATTACTGTAATCACTAATTAGTTGTCGCTAGATTTACCACTTCTAAGTGTTTGTGAATGAAACTTTCCAATATATTTTTTTTCTTAGTGTAAACTTCCAGCTTTTTCCATTTCCACCGAACAGTAGTAATAATCAGTTGCAAATATTTACCTGGACACATTATACTCGTAGCTAAAACTTAGGTTTCAACATACGAAAATATTTCTTACTTAAGTTATATTTATAGTATCTAAATAATTATTTATCAAAACATTTTTGTAGAATGCTCTACATTTGACAGCAAGTTTCATTATTATATGTAACTAATGTCATTCTGTTTCACTGTTGGTCGTTTCTACCTTTCTAGGTGTATCATTCAAACTTTAAACCTTTAGAATGGACCGTCGCTCATCGTGAAGATAACGTTTGTTACATGAAACTCGTTTGTCGTAAATCTGATGTAAGTTCATGTACAAGATTACTTTTGACCACATTAAATTCGTTTGAGTTTACCATGCTTCAGACAGAAGCTACATAATTGTTAGTTTTCTATGTTTTAACTGGGATTTTAATTCGTCTTTGCACTTATTGTTTGTGAGGGTCTGTTTCAAATAAATTTGTTGAAAACATCATTCTTGTAAGTTTAAGAACAATAAACTAGCGTATTACTTCTTTGTACAAACGATACTTGTACTTAGTTACCTACGCCTGTTACCCCTCCATCTAACTTTCTCCCGGGCAATCCTTCCCAGTTGTTACTCATCCTTTTGATGCGTGCTCCCGATTCCCGAAGTGGTTGGTTCCTTAGTCTGCCTCTTTTTTCCGTTCCCCTTCAGGATTCCAAGTAGGTGCTTGCTTCGTGATGCAGCTTGATGATTTCCATAAAGTCCGTCCTATCGACTTCCAGCGTGTTTTCCTAATTTCCTCCTAAGCTGGAAGCTGGTTTATTCTCCCCCACAATAGACTGTGGCTGATGATACTCGACCAACAAATATTGAGTATGTTGTGTAGACAATTGTTTATAAATACTTGTGCTGTTTTGATGATGGTTGTAGTAGTTCTCCGAGTTCCAGCTCAGTACAGTAGAACTATCTTGATATTCGTATTAAAGATTGTGACTTTTTATGTTAATCGACAGTTGTTTTGATTTTCATATGTTGTTCAACTGTAGGAATGCTATCCTTACTTTACCAATCCTTGCCTTTACGTCTACATTGTATCCTCCTTGTTCGTCGATGATGTTGTCCAAATAGGTACTTGGACGTTTCCATCTCTTTCAGAGTTTCTCCATCAAGTGTGATTAGGTTAATGTTCTCCATATTGTATTTGATGATCTTGGTTATTCCCTTGTGAATGTTGAGGCCCACTGATGCAGAGAATTCTGTTACCCTGGTTGTCATGACCTGCGTTTGTTGGGGTGTATGGGATAGGAGGGTTACGTCATCAGCGAAGTACAAATCATTTAGTTGCATGCACGCTGTCTATTGTATTCCGTGCTTCCCGTCAGACGTAGAGGTTCTCGTATTCCAGTCAACCACCAGAAGATAAAGGGTGAGAGTAAGCAGCCTTGTCTGACTATGGTCCTCACTTAGAATGTGTCTGTGAGCTGTCCTCCATGCACGACTTTGCAGTGTAGTCCATCGCATGAATTCAGCATGGTGTTGACGATTTTCTCAGGTACACCGTAGTGTCAAAGAAGTTTCCATAATGTTCTCCTATCCACACTGTCAAATGCTTTCTCATATTCAAGGAAGTTAATGTATAGTGACGAGTTCAATTCAATTGATTGTTCAACGATGATCCGTAGTGTCGCAATGTGGTCTGTGCACGACTGAGTCTAACCTGTCGATCACGATGTTAGACATTTACTGTGTCAATCTCGTAACTTCCGAAGTGTCTCGGCAATCACTATGCGGTATCATAATTCTTCTGCATGAATATCCTTCAACTCAAAAATCAGAGTTTAAATTGTTTATTCTGGTTAGTGTCTTTTTTAGCCAGATTGTTTTCTACGGGATGGGGTCGCTAACTCGATGCCCAGCCATACATGTTTGTATGAGCTTGGGACTGGTAGTAATCCTAGAAAAGCTACAGGCGAAGTTGATACTTGTAACCAACTGTATAACTAAATGATATATTACACTTTAAAAACGCTTTCGTAAATTTTACATTGTATAACATGTTGCTCTCTGGGTTGACGACGTTTAGAACGTCAGTGTATACCTGTTGAAATCGGTATGTTCATTTCAGCGGTGATCGTACCTCGTTACTTTAAATTTGAAATCTAATGAATCAATCTGTACGTACTTACTATATTCCAGTAGTCTTTGTTGTTAAAACATCCATTAATATTATAAACATCATAGTGTGGAATATTTCATACCAGTATTTACCTTTTCTAAACATCTGTTACACTTATTTCATGAGTGGAGACCATATTATGATTTTGTAGATCAACAAATCCAGATTTTATTACCTCTATAGAGGTAGTTCTGTGGTTAAAGGATTCGACTTCTCGCTACTAAATCTTAGACTCCCTCCTAGTTCAGTTTGGGTAACCGAATAGTATCACCACCTTCCCCACTACTTTTAGAGTTCAGCTTAAACCAAAGTACACAAACCTGTATCTGGTAAATGAGTTAGTAATATATAAATATGAATTAACTAACTCATATTACTAATTTATCAGTAAACTACTGGATAATGTATAAGGTTGTTAAGCACAACCTCCTTTATACACTGTACTTGAAGGAATAAGAGACTATTATTTTACTTTTTAGCTGGTATAATTATTTTGTTATTTTTATTAAAAATTTTCTTCAATTATGGAGCATCATTTGATGATGAAATGCATGGGAAAAGCAAACATTTTTAGTATTTCACTTTTTTCATTTCTTCCGTTTTATAGAACATGCGTGTACTGGGTCTGCATGTTTTGGGTCCTAATGCTGGGGAAATAACACAGGGATATGCAGTTGCAATTAAAATGGGTGCGACTAAAGCAGATTTTGATCGTACAATAGGAATTCACCCAACTTGCTCTGAGGTTTGTGAATATTATTTTTTATGATTTGCATTGAATTGTTTTCAAGATAAGGTTTAAGATCAAATTTTCATAATATAAATCAGGCGTACAAAAAAGTTTAGTGTCTTTGAAAATATGTTTCCTTTTTACTGTTTATATCTTAACACAAATATTTGTGCGTTTTCTTCCAGACATTTACAACGTTGCATGTAACTAAAAAGTCTGGCGTGTCGCCCATAGTGAGCGGTTGCTGAGGTTAATTCCCCACTGAAGCCTTGATCTGTTCCTTCTAATCAACGGGAAGGAAACTGTATTGGGCATTGGTGGGGGTATACAAATATCTGTTACATCTCTTCATTTTCTTCTGAAGGTACCTTCGTATGATCCGAATTCTCAGAAATCTTATTCCAAAACGGAATACTGAGTCTTTGGTGATGTTTTGGTACTAAAAAGAAAAAAAGATCTAGTTTTTTTACACTGCCAAATTTCATATAAATAACTGATAGTTAATTTGTTTTTGAACCATCAACTATCTTAGAAATTACACTTCATAAATATTTTTCCTCATTGAATATCAAATGTAAAATCTTCATTAGTGATTAACAGTTATTTGTAAATTTGACTTAGTTTTGGTCAAATGAAGTTACTTCACAAAATAAATGTTATGTGAGAAAATGATTCTTTTCTGATGTTGTGCTTTATTGAAACTTGTAAAGCATATCCCTACAGACCTTTTTACAGTACGATCATTTCGTCAACCATAATCTTTAATTTTAGTGACACTGATCATTAAGTGAAGTTTAATCTGTTGAGTTAGACATTGTTTTGAAATTCAACACGTCAGCCCTGATATACTTAAGAGTGGGGAAAATCCTCTCGAAATACTTCCAAATAGCTACGCGTATACAGCCACTGCCATTGAAGTCCTATTCATGCCTTCTCGCGGCAGGGGTGTTGTTTACGAAGTCGACGGGACGAAAAGTGAATGTTCAGAGCTTTAACCCTTTTGGGGGGGGGCACGGGGGTTTACTTAGGGGAGTTGGAAAGCCCTGATTCTAAGCCAATGGTGCGCATGAGCTCCATGATCCTAATGAAACAAGTGACGTATGAATTTTTTGTCAGTCACTGGCTATCATGGGACTGCATCTCCTAATATTGCTCTTGTTATAATTGTATTTTTTGCTATATAAACGACCAAGCTATTCCTATTGCTTAGTATTCTTATACGATGACACTCGACAAGACCCCAAAATCAGAACACGTTGAACAGGAATCAAATTGTATTGAAAATAATAATGATAAGTGAACAGCAATCAATAGTTTAAATTTATAGTATATACATAAGAAGCTTATAGATTTTTCAGCAATAATATGCCCGGGTTGATCGGTTTAAAATTAGCCAATCAGCGCGCAGCAACACCATCATGCATAAAACATGCTTTAATTCAATCTATGTCCCACTAACAGCTCTACTGTCTTGCAGATTAGACCTTTAGGTCAAAAGCTCGGAGTTTGACTCCCTAGGAAGATCACCTTCTTCGGTTTGGGCACCCGGACAGTATTCCAGCCCTCACAAAAGTCGAATGACGAAATGTGGCGCATATATATTTGTTGCCTCATTGAACCAATGTGTATGTGTGTAAATGGACATAAATTATTGAATAGTTTAACTCTATTGACATTAAACCCTAAGGTTTGTCGTCAAGTGGGAAATATATATATATTCATTTTAAGAAAAAACGTTTTAGTGTTTAAAATTTGAAGTTTTAACAAGATTCATAGTGGCTACACTAACTAGTATATCTCAATGAATTTTTGTTCATTCATCAAAAATTATTTCAATTAATTTAACTTCATTTAATGCTGATTTACTTAGAATATATATTGCGTCCTTGTAAGTGCAATAGAGCTTTACTTCAAAATAAGTCTAAAAGTCGATAATACAATGTACCATAAATTACAAATTTTTTTCAAGTATATCTAAATCATTTTTAAAACAATTTTGTTGTAGTTTACTAATGCAACTAAGTTTTATTTCTAAGTACATAATTTAATAGTTGTATGTTTGTGATTGTAAATCTCTGTTTACGATATCACAATTCAATTAAATCAGAGGATCATATAAATCAAATGAGCATGTAAATAAAATGAAATTAAAATAATTTTTGATGCGTTATACTTTTATAGATTTTTTTTAATGCCTAGTAAATATGATGAAGATGTTTGTCAGAAAAATTGGTCAAACGTAGTAAATATCGTTTGCAACTGGAATATGAATATCAGAATTAATTAATTCTTGTCATTTAAACCTTATGTGTTTGATTCTTAAGAGTCTGATCACTAAAATACCATGTACAACCAGAATGTATCAGGTATCTGTTATAAACGTAAGTATGCCGTCGCTGGTTATAACAGTAGGGGTTCTTGTTATAACAGTCCTTTTACTTCTTACACGTATGTGGGACGTTAATTTATCTTAGACGAATATCTACACTAGATTCCCACCCAGTGTCTATTCTACAGGACTTCAACAGAACTCAGATCAAGAACACAAGATTAGCCTGACTATAACGTCAATATATTTCCACACGAAAATCCGACACAAGGAACAGTAAATCAATAAGTGTCCATCAACAAGAAACAGTCAATACATAATAAGGATAGGGGAATATATATAACACCTGTCATCCTGTCTAATGTCCGACTCATCGAGACAACCAATCATTATCATTCTCGCCCACACATCAGTATCTGTTTCAGCTTATTTCAGCACTCTTTGGCTATTTGCATCCTCTAGTTATATTGTTTGACTTGGTTTTATGAAATCTGAAATTCGTCATCGGTTTACGGGAATAATTCTTATACTGTATTTGCTTACTGTAGTAGCATTTTCGTAAGCAACCGGATATTTATATTTCTCTCGTGCCTTTTTAAGCTCAATAGCCTTCACAACAATTGATAAAACGTAACTGAAAAGCTCTAGATAAGATATAAAATCACTGTAAATGGTCAAAGTGCATTCACACAAATGTACAATCAGCTTTTGTAACTTCAGGTAAACCCATAACAGTTTATTTAGTGTAATGGGACACAAAGTCAGCTATCGATTTATCTGTCGTCATAGATGGTAAAATTATTTGAGTAATATAAAGTAATGTAACTTTTATTTGAAATATTTCGAAATTGAACTCGAAATGTTCATAATTCTCACAAATATAGCCAGCAGATCTACAGTATATAGTCTACCGTAACAGGATTTCTTCAGAAGTTAGATAATCAAGATTGTAGTTTATAATTTACGTGGAAACTGTCATCAAGTAACAAGATAATTTGCTAAATGACATGAGTAGTAATTGATTACCGCTTTTACCAATTTACGGGTTTCAATAAGAAGATTGAAATTGTTTAGACACTACAACATTATGGTCATTGTCATCCGAAATTTTTTTGTGTACTCAGTCAACTGTTTTAACAGTCCATAGCATTTTTGCATTAGGACACCTGGTCATCTATCCTTACTGTAGTTTTTAATGAAGCCATTATAAGAATCAGTTTTTGAAGCTCTTTCAATCTAAAACATAATAACAAAAGAGTAACTCGTAAGTATACATTTGGACTTGAAACTTCATCGACGACTCTGAACAGTTCGACCAATCTCGATTTGTCAAAAATGAACTAAAGGACTATACTACTTTAGATCAGTCAAATATAGATGATTTAAACTGAAGAAACATTTTTCGTATTCATGAGTAAATTTTGGTGTATTGATAGTTTTATGACAATTAGAAGTTAAATAAAGCCAGAACGAACATGGATGCAGAATAATATGAATTCATTATATTTCGTGGTTTCTCATAAGCTGCTTACAGCCAAATATGCATTAAAATTTTACATTGAGGTAAGATATAGTGTGAAACAAGTGAATGTAAAGAGTTGGAATGGCAAAGGTTATCAATAGTAACTATATATCTGTGTGCAGGAGCAGGTCGGAGGTCATTTAGTTTTAGAATCAAAAACCATGAAGGGTGGGCAATGTAATAATTGAGTGAAGTTCAGAAACATATAGGATAAATTGTGTTATAATTTTAGAGGTAATGAAGGGTTTGCGCAAGATTCCTGAAATTTAAAAAAGAACTGGTAAGATGGGTTGCGTAATAATTGAACAAGATTTGAAGAGTTCACATAATTTAAGAGAATTGAGTGAAGGGGGTGCTTTAAATGTACATAAAATAAGGATTCGGTAATGGAAGAGAAATATAACAAGCCAAACATTAACAAAATAGAACTAATGACTAAAAATTGAATTACCAGGGTAGTAATAGGTTTATTACTGTCTCTTTTTGAATACATAGACCAGGTTTGGGATTTTTATCGCAATCGCTTCAGCAAACCGAAGAAAAGCAGTATTTCTTTGTATGCTAATAATTTTAAAAGCTTGAGGAATGTCAATGATATGCCAGATGTCCAGTAAATGCCGAGCTATTGCACTGTTAAGAGCCCTTTCCCCTCGCAGTCTCTTTTTTTCGGAAATGCGAATATGTACTCTTCTCTCGGTTCTTCCAATGTATGCGCTTTGGCACCTACGTAGATTTAAAACTTTGAAATTCCTAATCGGGAACTGGAATAAGACCATTTGTCTGCTTGATTAAATTTTCAAACTGAACATGTGCGTGAATCTTATTAATTTTTTAATTGATGTCTCAGAATTTTGTACCTAAAGATAAGGCTTCCAGATATACATTTGTTTAAGTTACTGAAGAATGATTAAACACATCTCTTAGGATTGATCGGAAATTTCATGTTGTGTTTCCATGGTTTTAAACTTTTAGTGAGATCCGATATTAGTTTCTTCGTACGTTTGTCAATAATTGTGGTAACATGTTCGGTGAAAAGATAGTGTACAATAGGTGATAACTCATATAAGACATATCTTTATGAAAAGTTGAATTCTAATAGCGAGATTCGTGAAAGAATAGAACCGATAATTTTTTGTGCATGGTGTTTAAGAGATTTAGAGTTTGGATAAATATGGTTTCTTCGAAGAATTCTCAACTAGCATTTGAGATATATGTGTTTATTAATATTATCATTAAGAAAGTTCACCTTCTCATTCGCTTAAGCGGTATTGACAGAATAACGCGGAAATTCATTAAGTTCCTAAACCATCAAATAAACTACTTAGCATTAACCGAATATTGTTATTGTGAGTAAGGGTAAAAGAAAATATGTATGTTCACTAACATGTTTGTTTTACGAATAGAAACCCTAACACATCTCATCAAGCAACTTTGAGTTTTGAGTGGTGATTCAATCATATAATAATTGAGAAATGATTATTATTATTAATATAAATTAAACCACAATCTTATTATTGGATCAAGAGACTGAGGAAAACACTTTTTCACTGTAACTTTACGTAGACAGTAGACAACACTCTAGTTTATGTTGTTGATTTTATTATTTAGTAAAGTGTTTATTTCACGTACTAATTGTTGGTTTTAATAATCATGGTGACACACCTTCAATCACATTGGTTATATCTTATCAACTTTTATATATTAGAAAACACATTTATCGACTTCATAACTACTCTTGAATTTTGGAGGATGCCATTTATAAATTTTAGACTCTAGTTTCATGTTTATTGATATTCAATAGTAGGATCGACTTA